GAAAGGGTGGGCGGGGGTCTTGGGCCTGCGGGGGCCTCACGGGGAGGAGACATGGTGGGGGAGGGGGCAGAGCTGCAGGGTCCCTCCGGGGAGGGGTCCGGAGGGAATCGGAAACGAGGGTGGTGGGCGCCGGGGCCCGAGGATCGAGGCTGGTTGTGCCGAGGCACCCGACGCGGGTTCCGGGGCGAGGCGGCCCGAGTCGCGGTCTTGCCCGGCCCCCACGGGCCGCAGCGCGGAGCCGCCAGCCCAGCCGGAGCAGGCGCCCGGGAGGCCCGGCCCGCGCCACCCTACCTGCACCGAGCGCGCCGCCATCTCCCGTTTGGAGCCTCGCCGTCCCGGGCCGCGATGCCAGATACCCGCCGAGCCGCTAGCCCCGCAGCCCCGGCCCGGCCCCCTCAGCCGCCCCCCGGGACCGCGGCCGCCGCCGGCTCCGCTGCTGCCATTTCACCCGCTGACAGGAGCCGCTGCCCCGCCCCCGAGGCCCGGTCAGCCAATTCACCGCCCCCAGATACTCTGTCTCCGCCCACCGTCCAAGAGTGACAGGGTATTTGCCCAATCCGTGGCCATTCCGTGAGAGGGGGCCCTGGCTACGGTCAGAAGGTTACCGCCTCTGAAAAGACAAGCGAATTGAAATAAGGGAAGCGATGAAGGACGGGTTGTTTTGCCTATCGAAATGAGGAATCCTGTTGATCAACAGCTGGAAGGACCAATAGTGAGGGGTGAGGGGTGTGTCTCTGAGGAAAGGCTGAGGCCCAGAGGAACGCCAGGCAGAGGCGGCCTAGCATTTGGCACCAAGCCCCGCCCAGAGCCGGGCTTTCTGCCCAATAACGAGACGTCCTGAGACGTCCATTATTATCTGCCCCTCAAACCTCAGCCCTGGCAACTGTTGGGGTGCTATGAAGAAGACTGACACCTGGGAAGCCAATGACAGCGAAGGAGGGCGGGGAGACGACGCTCTCCGACCAATGAAGTCGTGAGATAGGTGAGAGGTTGACGTCCTGGGCGGTGGGACTCGAGGCCTGGTCTGAATGAAATGGAGGAGGGGCTAAGACGGGGCGTGGTTTAGGCCACCAATGGGGCGGGATCAGATAAGGGAGGGGCTCGTGGGTTGGGTCGAGAGGGGGCATGGCCAGAATGTGCATCCTCCGAATCTGGCTCGGTGCTGCGGGCGGGGCGGTTGGGGTTGGGGGGCTAATGTAGAAGAGGCAGGCCCTACCCTTGCCCTGTCTGGGCCGGGATCAGGGTCTTCTTTGAACCTCTCGGTGTCGCAGGTCCCACCATCAAAGCTCTGATGACCGCTATGGGTACGGCCCTCCCCTTCCCCCCCAACTCCTGGCCTGACAGCTCCACGGGGAGGGGGCTGGGATGTAGGGCCTGGGTCAGCTCTCCCCCAGGTGCCTAGCATTGCCCTGCACCCGGGGACCACGTGTGAGCGATGAACGAACGAGCAAATGGGCCTATGACTCTTCGACGGGTAGTGGAGAGACACCGGGGGGAGGGGGCGGGGGGGCGGTCCCTGACTGCAGGCGGCGTCCTGGACCGGGTAGGGCAGGTGACAAAGCACGTTCAGAAGTGGGGCCGAAAAAGGGGGCCCGGAGGGAGGGGTGCAAGTGGGGCGGGGCGCGCCAGCAGGACGCCCGCAGTCTGGGGAGTGTCACATCTTGGGAGGAAGGGCTGGCACCCACCGGTTTGGCGGCCCCTGTCCAGTTCCCTCGGCCTCCACCCGCGTCTCCTCCCCTCCCTCTCCCTATCTATGCTGCGTCTGTTAAAAATCTGTTAATCTGTTAAGAAAAGCCCCCCAAATCTTGATGGGTAAAAATAAATCCCAGTTATAATGCATTCCTCCTCTCCCTCTGCATTCACAGACCACCTCCCTCATTTAAAAAAAAAAAAAAAGGAGAAGAGCTTTCTTGTTCTTCTAAAGCCAGCTTGTGCGCTTAGGCTGCAAAATATGGATTGTGCCCGAATTTCACGAGAGTGCTGACCCCTCAGTGGGCGTGGGAGGAGCAAGGACGCCCAGGGACTTGGCTAGGGATGGGAGGCACGGAGGCCAGCATGAGATGGGGACTAAAATGGCCAGCAGGGGGACAACCTGAGCTGGCTGCCTTGTGTGCAGGGGGCTGAGCAGCCATCACCAGGACAAGATCAGGGGGCTCACCACTACTGCCAGGTCACGGCTTCCCAGGAGTGACCTCCTCAGAGGTTTGGCATGAGCCACAGCTTCTGGTGCATAAAAACCCAGGGCCTCTGGGCCTGGAATAGCAGCTGGGATGAGGGGGACGGAGGGGTGTGCAGAGGCTCAGGCCTGCGTGGGATCCAGGGCACCCTGAGAAAGAAGTCGTGCCCGGTTGGTTTCCGGGGCCTTGCCCGGGACATCAGCAGCAGCTTGTGTCTGGAGGATAAGAATCAAACACATCTGACCGTCTCCTTCTCACGCTACCAAGTTCACACAAAGGACGGTTTTATTCTGGGGACACTTTGATTCCATTTTTATAAGCACCAGTGGGGGAAAAAAATCCAACAAATGTCTGTTGGAAGAGACTTTCAATCATAAGCTGCATTTGGCCAATTACATTCCTGATTGCTTTTCTATTTAGTGCGGTGAAACTGTTTCCAAAGTTTGTTTGCTTTCAGTTCGAATTGAGAGAAGCCATTTTTAGCAGGAATAGTTTTCTTGGTGCAATGCTTGTAGTAAACCTTTGATGCATTAATCTGGCCTTTTAAAAACTGCTGTTTTAAATTATTTATATTTGATAGGCTGAGAGAGAGAGAGAGAGAGAGGCAGATAGACAGAAATCTCCCATTGGTTGGGTCCACTCCTCCCCCGCCCCACCCCCAACACCTGCAGTAGCTGGGACTGGGCTGGGGCTTGAGCCAGGAGCCTGGAACTCCATTTAGGTCTCCCATGTCAGTGGCAGGAACCCAATTATTTGAGTCATCATCACTGCCTCCCGGGGTCTGCAATGGTGGGAAGCTGGAGCTGGAGCTGGGACTGGAACTTGGGTATTCCAATGTGGGACATAGTGTCTTAAATGCTAGGCTAAGCACTCAGCTCTGAATTAAACTTTGGACTCAGAATTCTTCCATTGTGAAAGCTGATCCATGTGGACTCATAGCTCACACTTTGTCATGAGGGTTGCAAAGAAGACCACAGTACTTGTAGCTCCTTCTGCTAAGAGATGGGGTCTTTTCCCCAACCTTGAACCTGAACTGGCTTCATGTCTTGTTCTGAGCAATGGAATGTCTCAGAAATGGTGCAGTGCTGGTTCTCATCTTAGACCTTAAGCTCAAAAAAAGAAAACTAGATGTTTTAATATTTGTAATGTGGGGCCATTTTTAAAGCTTTGTTTATTCATTTGAAAGGCAGAGTTACAGAGAGAGTGAGGGAGAGAGAGAGAGAGAGAGATCTTCTGTTCACTGGTTCAGTCCCTGAATGGCCACAATGGCTAGATGGGCTGATCCAAAGCCAGGAGCCAGGAGCTTCATCTGAGACTCCCACGTGGGTGCAGGGGCCCAAGGACTCCGGCCATCTTCTGCTGTTTTCCCATGTGCATTAGCAGGAAGCTGGATGGGAAGTGGAGCAGCCGGGAAAGGAACTGGCACGGACCACGTGATGCCGGTGTTGCAGGTGGTGGTTTAACGCACTGTGCCACAGCTCCTGCCCCTGTAATGTGGTCACTATTTTTTTTTAACTCTTTTTTTTTGCAGGAGAGTTGGAATACCACATTGGAATACCTGAGTTCAAGTGCCAGCTCCAGCTCCAGCTTCCCACCATTGCAGACCCTGGGAGAGAGTGATGATGACTTAATAACTGGGTTCCTGCCACTGACATGGGAGACCTAAATGGAATTCTAGGCTCTTGGTTCAAGCCCCAGCCCAACCTCAGTACCGCAGGTGTGGGGGGTGGGGCGGGGGAGGAGTGGACCCAAGGAATGGGAGGTTTCTGTCTATTTAGGGTAGAAAGAGAAGTATAGAAGCTGAGCTGGGTCCATACAAGCAGAGAGCAGGCCAGGAGCTAGCAACGTGGAGCATATGGTTATGAGCAGCCAGCGGTAGCTTAGCGCGGCAGCAAAGCTGCACTAAGGCAGAGAGATTTTGGGGTGCTTCTTGCCTTTTATATGCTTTTCAAAGGGACGTGGTTACATAGTCTGATGGGCAGGTGGGCATCCAGGTGAGATCAGGTAGGGGCATGAGATCACACAGGGGGTGTGGTGGAGGGCGTGGTCTCCAGGTTACAAATATAATCAGTTTTATCCTATCTGCCTGCCTATATCATTCCCCCCCGAGAAACTCCAGACTTTAATCTTTTTAAAATTAATTTATTTGAAAGTTAGAGTTACACACATGGAGAGGAGAGGCAGAGAGAGAGAGAGAGAGAGAGAGAGAGAGAGAGAGAGATCAGTCTTCCATCCACTGGTTCATTTCCCAACTGGCTGTAATGGCCAGAACTGCACTGATCTGAAGCTAGGAGCCAGGAGCTTCTTCTGGGTCTCCCACATGGGTGCAGAGGTCCAAGGACTTGGGCCATCTTCCACTGCTTTCCCAGGCCACAGCAGAGAGCTGGATCAGAAGCAGAGCAGCCAGATCTCAAAATGGTGCCCATATGGGATGCTGGCATTGCAGGCAGTGGCTTTACCTACTACGCCACAGTGCCAGCCCCCAGACCTTAATCTTAAGGGATACTGAAGTGTGTAGAATCATCCTATCTTCTATAGCTGCTTCCTGCTTATTAGGGGCACAGGCTGCCTGTCCTCGGTCCAGAAGTCTCTGCCTATCTCATCTAATGAATTTGTTTCATGAACTGGAGCACTTTCAGTCACTGCCAATGTCTGTGTCCCCTGCATGGCCATCATTATCCTCAGAAGTCATTGAGTTCTGAAACATAGAAGTTTGTCAATCAGCGTGAGCAAAATCAGAACAAAACCAATTGTGAATGGTGTGCCCCTTAAGATGGAAAGAGCACATCTCACCATCTCCCAGACAGCAGGTGGTCGTAGGCTAAGCCTATGTGGATTATAAAACCATTTAGCTTGCACACAGAGGGTTTGAATGTCCCTCTCAGTGAACATGCTACTGTGGGGACCCATGAGCCGGCCATGGGCCCACATGCTAAGGCTTAGCTTGCTGACCGTTTGCAATAGTTACTGCTGTGTGGATGTTTATGTTTTCTGTTGAGCTGTGATATCGGGACCGTTTCATAACCCCAGGCTAGAGTCAAAACAACTATGGCCTTGGGGCTTCCCATACTTCTTTTCCCACTGACCAAGGCTGAGAAAACATCAAGTGGAAGCTTGTTGTTAGCACCTGACTCACCTGCTACGTGATCAGGAGCTTGATTGGATGAAGGCGCGTGATCACCTTTATGGTTGGACAAGGAGCGCATGGACTGTGCGTGATCAGGCACCGATTGGAGCGCCGCTGCATGGACTGTAGCATGGACTAAGCTTGCTTACATGCTTCAACAATGTTATACTATATAAGCTGCTTGTGATATGGTACAGGAGCTTCCCCTTTCTTTCGGAGCTCCCCTTGCTCAAGGGTTTCTCTTTCCATCCTGTTTAAATAAAAGTCTACTGAAGACCGATCAGCTGGGAGCAGCATCGTTCCTTTGCGGGCAAGGGAGCGACAGCTACTATCTGAGTAAAGGTGGCAGATTCTATTAATCATTGTGCACATTCCCCCTTGTTCTATTAACACATATTCCAGGGCCTGTCTATTGTCCATAACTACTTAGACAGGGAGTCCACTGATGCTGTAGGAGCCGGCCTGAAGTGTAGGCCAGATTACTCAGATGTATGGTCAGTTTTCTTTAAAATTTATTTTATTTGTTTGAAAGACGGAACTACAGAGAGAAGTAGAGACAGAGAGAGATGTCTTCCATCTGCCGGTTCACTCCCCAAATGGCCACAATGCCTGGAGTTGTACTGATCCGAAGCAGGATCCAGGAGCTTCCTCTGGGACTCCCACACGGGTGCAAGGGCC